AATGTTCAAATGTTTCGGCTATCATTCTTACTAATTACTGTTTTTAATTCTTCGTTCATAAGTACGGTTCCGAGACTACCAGTAAATAAGTTATATGAGATATTTTCACCCTTTTTCGTCTAAGGTGATGAAGGACTGAAAGTTGAATTATCCCATAATGATATGAGTAGAGCTGACGTTTCCATTAAATTTTACATTACTATGCTTTCCTAAAAGTTATCATTAACACCCACAGCGGAAGTCAAACCATGACACTGAAGCGTGTAATCTCGGCACGTTAAGCGCTGAGCCACATTTCCACGAGTTCCCTTGCGGATGTGCAGTCCACCCTGGATGAGAACCCCTTTTTGGAATGCAAGGCAATGTTAAACGCAATGGAAACGTCAGCTCTACTCCTATCATTGTAGGAAAATTTAACTACCAGTCCTTCATCACCTTAAACGACATGGGATGAATACATTGCATATACTGTTTCTAAGTTTATGCTTGAGGAATTTGCAATAAAAGTGATAGAAGTATTATTAAGCATAACATCTGTGCAACAAACTGATGACGACAAGTTTTTGTAATTTGTATTAAGAACATTTTCGCCTATATAGTACGTGTTATAGAGAGTATTTTTCTAAATCTCTTGTTTATCTCTACTCTTAGGATACCGAGAGAAAAGGCGTTAAAACAAGAAAATAATTGACTAAATAGATTTAAGGCTAAATGATCGAGGTATGGGCCAGTTTGGTCATTAAGCAAATACTAGCTAAAACTCTCTCTTTCTCTTATTATATATATGCCCTGTTTAATATTTTATATTTAAATGTCTACTACGAGCATAAGCTCGTAGTATCCTATTTTTTCTGCAACCTATCTTGCTGGCTACAAGATATATTTGGTTATTTACTTCTATTCATTTACCATCTAGCATAATTATGCCAGCCCCGTACTTCTATTCTGATTTTTCTTTCTCTAGGTCATGGTAGAAAGCTCTGCTAGTTCAGTTCAGCCATCTTCTGCAGACCATGTGGATGCTGACCTCATCAGGTCTATAGAATCCAGCCAAGTGAACCTGGAAGCAGCTGGCAAAACTCTATATGGCGTTCCTGTTCCTGTTAAAGTGGCCTCGAGAGCCCATCTCATTCATTGCCACGGACTGGCCGTAAAGCGGGCCTACGTAAATCGTACTAACCAGTTCACTGTGGACGCTAGTTCAGCCGGTGCGCTAATAGATTTATAAATTTGTGTTACCCACTGTTACATTATTCATCTTCTCCATTTACTTGCTTTTGATTTGACTTAGGCTTGAGAAATTTGTCTAATCCAGCACTTCATTAATGTCTTATATCTTATCTGAGGATATTAAGGGAAATTTTAGTTGAAAATGATTGCCCATTAGAATTAATTGAAAATTGCTTTAAAATACTAGCAGATAGAATTGAAGGAAATATCTATTTGGTGTCTTGATGTTACTGTCGAGCCAGCTTTCGAAAAAGATAGGTGAACTACTGAGGAAGTGGGATGACAGGACAATTTGTAAAAAGAAAATATCATTTTCCTTAGTGGCCCACTTTACGAATCAGGCTGCTATACGGTTTTATGTTCATCTGGTAGTGTCTATGTGGGGGAGACCTGTCTACCCATACGCTAGAGATTATCTGAACATAAAGCAGCCTGCTAAGGTTTGTGAGTCCACAAGTCAGAATTGATTGGACACATAACCAACACAAGACACCAGATAGATTAGTCCAAAGCCAAACGCTTAGCTGGATATGGAGACTACACCAATAGAGGAAAATTAAGGGATCTATAGAACTCAACAAAACAGCCAACAGCATGAATAGAAGGAAGTAGTGTAAGAAATTAAGTGAAGACTACCTGTGGCTGTTGGAGAGGAGTATAAGGATGCCACAACTGTTTGTCAGACGATTGGTCAATTAATCGACTTCACGTGTCTTTTTGACGAGTTGTAGTGTGGCGCTATGTATAGCAATACACACTGACGATGCCGGCGAAACGTCTGGGAATGTACCAAGTTCAGAATCTGACTCTGGAAATTATCATGCATACTATGAACTCCGGACATGGTACTTTCCTATAGATTATCCTGCCAATATGACAAGGTTGCGAAAACAAAGTCGAGCACATTCTATACAACGACTCCGTGACCATACAAAGGTCACACAATGATGGTCTTCATAACTTCGATTAAAATATGATAAGTCTACTACCAACATACTTTACATGTCTAGTCCACTTAGTATTTCCATTAAAGATCATTTACGGTGATTTTGCATCATATTAATCGATAACTGGATGGATTGAGTGATTACTTGCTCTATTATTACCGCAATAAATGCAATCTGTAAATTCCTCAAATATATATATTATCTAACAAGTATGTCTGCAAGAGCCGATGAAAATTGTATTTTTCAAATGTCCAAAGAATACAGTTTATCAAAATTTTGAACAAAGACACACAAATCATAATTAATAAATGCTGCAACCAATCTATTTCGCTTGAAACTGGTAGTTTCACCTTACCAATACTGTTTATTATATCTAGAGCAAGCTAGTGTCCTCATTAAGTTTGCTTAATCCCAATCCTGATGACGAAAATTGCGCACATCTCCTTCAGTCCCATGTGAATAAAACCTATTTAGTGAACTATTTATCGTTATTTTATTGACCCTATCTTTATTTGCATTTTATGTTGCTTGCTTTGTGAAGTGAAAATATCTGTTTGCTCTATCCACCTTACATGAACTAAGTAGGTAATCTTTTAGTGTAGTATTATGTATATTGATAATTTAGCATGTTTATACTTTTCATAATTGAAGGAAACTTGATCACGTAATCATGCTTTATGCGTTTTAATTTGGATTTCTTAATCTGCTTCCACACCCGAATATGCAGATTTATTACGGTGATATTTCAAATATTGCTTATGTATTATTAATTTAGGAACACCCTTAAAGGCTAAAATAATCGCGTTTTACCGTTAACAAATAAAATACGATGCCGGAGAATTGCAACTTAGCAACTAAGTCTTCCCTTTTTGTGATACTTCTCGATTTACTCACGTTTCAAAGAACATTTTTCCCCTAGGTTAGCTTTTAATCTATCTACTTGGCTTCTTCAGGCTTTTAATTATTATTTTTCGCATTTAAATATTAAATTATTCTGATTGCATGAACTGATACTCGTAACATTACTTTCCTTATGCTATTTTATGAAGTAACATTATGTTCATTACGAAAATATGTTGCATTTATGTAATGGCTAATCCCGTTAACTAGTCATTAAAATGCAATTTGGGCGTATCCCCATATTGATGCCTTGAAATGATATCATGGGCTGGTTCATCTTTTGTTGTATTAAATAATCATGCTACTTATCATATTAAGTAACAGCTTATAATTATA